CTCCCTCACCCTTTCTCTTCCCCCTCCTTTCCGATCAAATCCGTCCAGCCCGTCATTTCCCTCCCATCCCTTCGCCTCCGCTGCCTTCCCCGTCCTTTCCATCCCGTCCTCCAAACCGAAGAAATCCTGCACGGGCACGAACGTCGGGGACGACGCTGGCCGCACGCTCTGCGCGCCCGAGTCGACGTTGAAAGCAGCGTGTGTTCTGATAGACATTGCGCCATCCAACCAGACGAATCTTTACACATTACAGCTCCGAGTTTGGGGACCTGGGGTGTTTCCAAAGATTGGGTTTCCAACGTGCTGCTCCTTCCATGCGCAGCCCGTCCGCTCCCTCCTTCCGCCCTCTCCCCTTGCCGTTCCTCCTGCCTAGCTTCTCCGTTTCTCCCACGATCCCTGGCCTCCCCTCCAGTCCGAAGAGGGGCTCCCAAGGCAGAAAGTAGCACAAAGAAGCCATTACCGCGGCAACAAACGCTGGCCATAACCATGTGACACTGAGAATATGGAAATCATCGCGAAGGGTAGATAAGTCGACCTGCTCGTCCGCATTCCATTTCCTGGTGCAGCGGCCAAGGGTGGGCCTCGCCTGCCGCATGCAGAAACCAGAAAGCATACAACGTGTCGGATTCAGGTGGTCGCACCGTGCCCCTAAGGTGGGGCAAACAATTTCCAACATGTTAGCGCCCATGGATGCTACGTTGAACAACGCGGCGAGTTTACCCAAATTCGCAATCGATATCACGCAGGAAGACGGGCCCGAATTCCGCTACGGGTGCGGACCTGGGAGCAACGACCGGCACAAGGCCAATCACGCAGCCCAAAGGCCCCAACCCAGCAGGCGACTCGTCGATGAAGCCCTTCTCCAGGAGCTTCACCGACGAACAGGGCCGCACAGCATACCCGTCGCCCACCGAAGGTGGAGACCACATCTTCCCGCCCGCCCGCCCCCGAGCCAGCAGCCTGGAGTGCAGATGATTGGGCAGTCACGAGACGCACAGAGACAGACTAGCACTGCATTATCTCTTTGGAGGCGCGCGTCCGACCCGAACAAACAATATACCCATCTTGTAACAATATCGTTTCCCGAGCGGCGCGACAAGAAAATGCCCACCACGAGGCATGCACTGTAAGATTTTTCGGTGCGTGCGTCGCCCATGGGGGGGGGGCGACGCACACATAGCATTAGTATGTTGGGGTGACGCCGAAGCCAGGCCACCGGGGCACAAAGAGTGCACCGAAACAGATTTCGGCGAACATCACGGCGGCATCCAATTCCGCCTAAGCGCCTGAGCGCTTAAATTTCTAATCCTATAATTATGAAATCCGAATTACTGCAAAAGCGGCCGTTATGCAACCCGGCTCCATCTACTGTAAAAAAACTTGCCTGAGCATGTGTGCAGAATATCCTATTTTTAATAACACAAAGTGCCCAGCCCCCGTCGCAACCCCGCTCCATCTACTTCAAAAATAGCATTTCCTGCGCATGCGTGCAGAATATCTCATTTTTTTCAGCACAAAGTGCGCCCCTCTTATGTAAACCCGCTCCATCTACTGCAACAAATAGCACTTCCTGCGCATGCGTGCAGAATTTCCTATATTTTACAATACAAAGTGCCTTCCGTTGCGACCCGATCCACCGATTCCATAAAATAGCGGTTCCTGCGCATGCGTGCAGAACCTCTTCCGCCCGACCCGACTCGTCCCGTTCGTTACAGCACTCGCGTGCCAACTGGATCGCACATCCGTCGTCGCCGTCGTCGTCGTCGTCGACGCTGTATTCGATGCGATTCTAACGAGGGGAGAGATGATCTTCATGGTGGGGTGGCGTGCGGGTGGGAGTGACGGCCACCGCAGGTGGGTTCGCGGTCACGTTGTACTCGTGGCCACGCCTAATAGACCCTAAACCCTAAACCCTAAATTCCCAAGCACATCGCTGTGCATCTGCCCGCGCACCGCGCATCACCGTCGCCGTCTACGAGAGACAGGGCTTCTCTGAGATGCTTCAGCTGGTTGCCAGACTGGGTCGACGTGGGAGCCTTGGGCTCCCCTCCCCCACTATGGGGAGTCGCGATTCTACGATAAACGCTCCTATGATCCTCGAAGAATACAACACCCTAAACCCGGAGACTGCGCGCTCGGGTCGCGCTGTATGCTCCGACACGTAAAAACACGTGCGGCGCGCTCCAAGCGCCTCTAGGCGCACTTGGGAGCGCCTGGGAGCGCCTGGGAGCGTCTGGGAGCGCCAGGGAGCGCCTTGGAGCGCCTGGGAGCGTGCCGCGAGCGCCTGGGAGCGCCTGGGAGCGCCTGGGGGCGCCTGGGAGCGTGCTGGGAGCGCCTGGGAGCGCCTGAGAGCGCCTGGGAGCGCTTGGGATCGCCTGGGCCCGCCTGGGAGCGCCTGGGAGCGCCTGGGAGCGCCTGGGAGCGCCTGGGAGCGCCTGGGAGCGCCTGGGAGCGCCTGGGAGCGCCAGGGAGCGCCAGGGAGCGCCTGTGAGCGCTTGGAGCGCCCATTGGGGAATTTAGGGGCCAGCGGCCCTAAACCCTAAAAGGCTTTAGTTCGGGAGGTCGCCCGCCATGCGGCCAGGGGTGGGAAGATGTTGCACCGCCTGCCCCCTTCGCCAAGCTTGCTCGGGTCGGCTAACCGCCCCCCGAACCAAGAGTGCCGAAGGGGGGGCAGCATTGCCTGGACTGTCGGCCGCTGCGCTAAGAGAAACCCTACATTCCCAAACACCTCGTCGTGCATCTGCCCACCCACCGCACATCACCGTCGCCGTTTACGAGAGATGCTTCCGCTGGTTGCCAGACTGGGTCGACATGGGAGCCTTGCGCTCCCCTCCCCCACTTTGGGGAGTCGCGATTCCACGAGAAACGCTCCTATGATCCTCGAAGAATACAACACCCTAAACCCGAGGACTTTTGTTCCTCGAACGTCACATAGATACGCTCCGACACGTAAAAACACGTGTGGGGCGCTCTGGGCGCCTCTGGGCGCACTTGGGAGCGCACTTGGGAGCGCCTGGGAGCGTGCCGCGAGCGCCTGGGAGCGCCTGGCGGCGTGCCGGGAGCGCCTGGGAGCGCCTGGGGGCGCCGAGGAACGCCTGGGAGCGCCTTCGATCGCCTAGGAGCGCCTGGGGGCGCCCGGGAGCGTGCCGGGAGCGCCTGGGAGCTCCTGGGAGCGCCTGGAAGCGTCTGGGATCGCCAGGGAGCGCCTGGGAGCGCCTGGGAGCGCCTGGGAGCGCTTGCGAGCGCCTGGGAGCGCTTGCGAGCGCCTGGGAGCGCCTGGGAGCGCCTGGGGGCGCCTGGGAGCGCTTGGAGCGCCCATTTGGGAATTTAGGAGCCAGCGGCCCTAAACCCTAAAAGGCTTTAGTTCGGGAGGTCGCCGGCCATGCGGCCGGGGGTGGGGTGTGGTTGCAGCTCTTGCGTCGTCGGCCTGCTTGCTCGGGTCGGCCAACCGCCCCCCAATCAAGCCTGCCGAAGGGGGGCAGCCTTGGCCCAACCCTACACCGTAAATTCCCAAGCACCTCGTTGTGCTTCTGCACCGCGCATCATTGTCGCCGTCTACGAAAGACAAGGGCCCCTCTGAGATGCTTCAGCAGGTAGCCAGACTGGGTCGTCCTGGTAGCCTAGGGCCACCTAACCCCACGATTGGGGATCCACGATGCAAAGATAAACTATGCCTGATCCTCGAAGAATACAACCCGGCAACCTTTTACGCTCGGATTCCCCCCCTACTTCTCCGACGCATGAAAACATGTGTGGGGCGTTCCCAGCGCTTCTGGGCGCACTTGGGAGCGCCTTGGAGCGCCTGGGAGCACCTGGGAGCGCCAGGGAGCGCCAGGGAACGCCTGGGAGCGCCTGGGAGCGCCTGGGGGCGCCTGGGAGCGCCTGGGAGCGCCTGGGAGCGTGCTGGGAGCGCCTGGGAGCGCCTGGGAACGTGCCGGGAGTGCCTGGGAGCGCCTGGGAGCGCCTGGGGGCGCCTGGGACCGCCTGGGAACACCTGGGATCGCCTGGGAGCGCCTGGGAGCCTGGGAGCGCCTGGGAGCGCTGGGAGCACCTGGGAGCGCCAGGGAGCGCCTGGGAGCGCTTGGAGCGTCCATTTGGGAATTTAGGGGCCAGCGGCCCTAAACCCTAAAAGGCTTTAGTTTGGGAGGTCGCCGGCCATGCGGCCGGGGGTGGGGAGTGGTTGCAGCTCTTGCGTCGTCGATCGGGTCGGCTAAACGCACCCCCAATCAAGCCTGCCGAAGGGGGGGCAGCCTTGCCCAGACTGTCGGCCGCTGCGCGCCCGAGAAGCCCTAAACCCTAAATCCTAAACCCTTGCGCGCAGCGCACACGGCGGAACGGGCCTAGCGCACGCGCGAGGAAGTCATCGAGGGGCTCACGCAACCAGCCTGAGGACACCTCGCGGGGCGCACTGTGCCCTCCCCTGGCCATCGCTCGGACGTATCTTCCCTGTGCGTTTTTCGATGTCGTGCGTGTTTTTTTACCTAACAGCGAAGACTGATAGGTTTCTAGTGGTGTCAAAAGCGAGCATCTGATGACTCAGAAGGGAGGTCTGGGCGGCATCCGGACAGCGAGGGCCGGGCTCAGGGCCGGGCTCGTTTTAAGCAAACAGTCACACACTTCGTACTCTTCGACCTCCCAGAACTCCATTCCCGGGCCGCATTTTGAATGCCCGGAGCCAACTGTAGGCCACTTCGTGCTCTTCGACTTCCCAGAACTCCATTCCCGGGCCACATTTTGGATGCCCGGAGCCAACTGTAAGCCACTGAACTCCACTCCCGGGCCACATTTTGAATGCCCGGAGCCAACTGTAGGCCACTTCGTGCTCTTCGAGTTCCCAAAACTCCATTCCCGGGCCACATTCTGAATGCCCGGAGCCAACGCTACTTCGTGGTCTTCGAGTTCCCAAAACTCCATTCCCGGGCCACATTTTGAATGCCTGGAGCCAACTGTAGGCCACTTCGTGCTCTTCGAGTTCCCAAAACTCCATTCCTGGACATGATTTTGAATGCCCGGAGCTAACTGTAGGCCACTTCCTTCGTAGCCAACGACTTCGTGTTCTTCGAGTTCCCAGAACTCCATTCCCGGGCCACATTTTGAATGCTGAGGCAGGCAGGCTGAGGCTGAGGCAGGCTGAGGCTGAGGCAGGCTGAGGCTGAGGCCGAGGCTGAAGGCAGACTGAGGCTGAGGCTGAAGCAGGCTGAGGCTGAGGCTGAGGCAGGCTGAGGCTGAGGCAGGCTGATGCTGAGGCAGGCTGAGGCTGAGGCTCAGGCTGATGCAGGCTGAGGCTGAGGCAGGCTGAGGCTGAGGCCGAGGCTGAAGGCAGACTGAGGCTGAGGCTGAAGCAGGCTGAGGCTGAGGCTGAGGCAGGCTGAGGCTGAGGCTGAGGCAGGCTGATGCTGAGGCAGGCTGAGGCTGAGGCTCAGGCTGATGCAGGCTGAGGCTTAGGCAGGCTGAGGCTGAGGCCGAGGCTGAAGGCAGACTGAGGCTGAGGCTGAAGCAGGCTGAGGCTGAGGCTGAGGCAGGCTGAGGCTGAGGCTGAGGCAGGCTGAGGCTGAGGCAGGCTGAGGCTGAGGCTGAGGCTGAGGCAGGCTGAGGCTGAGGCAGGCTGAGGCTGAGGCCGAGGCTGAAGGCAGACTGAGGCTGAGGCTGAAGCAGCTGAGGCTGAGGCTGAGGCAGGCTGAGGCTGAGGCTGAGGCAGGCTGATGCTGAGGCAGGCTGAGGCTGAGGCTGAGGCTGATGCAGGCTGAGGCTGAGGCAGGCTGAGGCTGAGGCCGAGGCTGAAGGCAGACTGAGGCTGAGGCTGAAGCAGGCTGAGGCTGAGGCTGAGGCAGGCTGAGGCTGAGGCTGAGGCAGGCTGATGCTGAGGCAGGCTGAGGCTGAGGCTGAGGCTGATGCAGGCTGAGGCTGAGGCAGGCTGAGGCTGAGGCCGAGGCTGAAGGCAGACTGAGGCTGAGGCTGAAGCAGGCTGAGGCTGAGGCTGAGGCAGGCTGAGGCTGAGGCTGAGGCAGGCTGAGGCTGAGGCTGTGACTGCGACTGCCGTTGCCACTGCGACTTTCATCGCGAATGCGACTGCGACTGCGAGAACAGCAGAATTTTACAACTGGATTCTCATGTGAATCGTAAGGGGAATGCTTCCAGATATGCTCCTACACATCGCTGTTAGGTTGCTTTGCCGGGATATTTTTGTTTCGCAAGATGATCCAGGATGCTCCTCAATGATCCCCGCCGAGAAAAAGTGCACACGTCCGAGCGATACCAGGTCCCCGTCACAGTCTGCGAACGTGGGGGCAGGTCCCCCATGTCACCCCTGAATTGTTGTGAGTGGTGCAGACTCTGCCCCCCGGCCATGACTCCAACCGCGGACAGGCCAGCACAGCCTTGGCGAAGGGAGTCAACCGAGCAGAGCGGCAAAAAGTCCTTCACCCCCCCCGGTTGTCTGGAAGCCCGTGCTCAGACAAGCAGGGCACGAGCTCAACACACGTACCATCACGTATCCGAACAGCCCTACGGCTCCCCCATGTCTCCACGTCTCGCCTCCTTCCGGTAACCTCCACTGCCGCCAACAACCCTAAGACTATGTGCACCGCCTCGACCGCAAGCTATACGACGTACGCTCCACGCGCCGAGCCGCCTCCCCCCGCCCCCAGCGCTTTCAGCACTCTCCTCGTGCCCGAACCTACCCAGAGGCAACGAATGATCAAAAATGAGCGCGCTCACCAACCAAAACCAGCTGCTACCAGCATGTTTAGACCATGGGCCAACCATCCGAGTTGCCAGCCAGCCAACCGGCAAGCCAACAAACCAACCACCCGAACAAGCGCAGCCACGCAAGAAGCAATCTGAGGGGGGGCGACTGCAGAGGGCGAAACCATTCAGATAAGTTCTCCAGGAACCACTTTGCAGCCAAGTTATGACTGAAAAAACAACTAATCCGAGAACCCCAGGAGCAAGGGAATTGCCACCTGCACGCCACACGCTGACACCAGTAAGTGGCTGGCTAGGCCAGGACCGCGACGTCTGGAGTCTCCTAGCCAGACCAGAGCGGCCTAGAAACCAAACATGGGCCCAGGGACCTGTCCAAATTGAGCGTCGGTGCGCGATCGGCAGATCCCCGATGGTCGTCGGCGGCGCGCCTGGGGGGGAAGCGGGGGGGGGGGCAGGGACGCAATGAAATAAGACGAGGCGCCACGAGATCTGGGGAAATATCATGGCCCACGCCATGAGATCCCCCCCCCTAGTCATCACCCCCCTCTTTCCGCCCCCGACTGTAGAGGGACAGGCCCGACGTCAGCCTGAGCCCTCCCCGGAGACGGAACAACTTCTCAGCGGGCCGGAGCGCCTCCGAGGAGGCCCGCGGCGCCCTGCGAGAGGGCCTCCTCTGCCCTTCGCTGCCCCCCCCGGGCGAGCCGCCGAGGCCGCGCGCCGCCCCCGACGGACGAGGGCAGGCAAGGCCCTCCTCCTCCACCTCCTCCTCATCCTCCTCCGCCTCCTCCTCCTCCTCCTCCTCCTCCTCCTCCTCCTCCTCCTCTCCTCCTCCTCCTCCTCCTCCTCCTCCCCCTCCCCCTCCCCCTCCCCCTCCCCCCTCCTCCTCCTCCTCCTCCTCCTCCTCCTCCTCCTTCTCCTCCTTGCCGATTCTTCTTGCAGCGCGTCCCAGCGCCCGCCTCTCCAGCTCGAGCCGGCGCTGGTTCCTGTCCAGCTTGTCCTCTCCGCGCGGGGGGCGGGCGGGTAGGGGGCCACGTGCGAACCCATACCCCTACCCCCCACGATTTCGGAGGGGGAGGGCGGGGTTCACTTCGCTCGGGAGCTCCACCCTCCCCCTCCGAAATCGTGGGGGGTATGGGGCAGGGTTCGCGCGTGGCCCCCTAGCGGGGCCCCGGGGCCTCCGACTGCGGCCGGCGGGGGGAGGGGGCGCGCGGGGCGGGGCGGGGCCGGCCGGCGACCCGGAGCGGGATGCGGGGCGCCCGCCCGGCCGCCAGGTCGGGTCCGAATGCGGTTTTGCACCGGAGGCGGAGGAGGAGGGGGAGGGGGAGGAGGAGGAGGAGGAGGAGGAGGCGGAGGAGGGAGGCGGAGGCGGAGGCGGAGGAGGAGGAGGAGGAGGAGGCGGAGGAGGAGGAGGCGGAGGAGGAGGAGGAGGAGGAGGAGGAGGGGGAGGAGGCGGAGGAGGAGGAGGAGGAGGGGGAGACCAGGGCTGAACCTGAAGGGGGTGTTTCGTTTCTTCGTGCTGTTTCTCGTGCTCCCTCGTTTTGCCTTCGCTTCGCCTTGAACGCATAACAAAACGAAAAACAAAACGGCCCCCGAGATAGCCAAAACACAGTTTCGGTCCAGCCCTGGAGGAGGCAACCGGCAGCAACTCACGTGCCCTGGGCCCCTCGGTCACTCGTGCTCAACGAAAGGCCTGGGGCACAGGAGCTGCCGCCAGGTGGTCCTCTCCGTCTCAGCGAGAGGCGCGGGGCGCGCGAGCTGCCGCCAGGTGGTCTTGTCCCCCTCCGCCGCCGCCGCCGCCGCCTCCCTCTGGGAGTTCCTCGTCCCCCCTCCCTCGGCAGTGCGTCGCGGCTGGGCACGCCACAGCCACCCGGGTGGCACCGGGGCCGCCAGGCACGGGGCAGAGACGAGGGGCGCGGCTCGTGCGGGTCAAGGCGAGGGACGGGGGAGGCGCAGCGCGTTGGCACCGTGGGGGGGCGGGAGCGGCGGCGATCCTGGAGCACGGCCTGCCCCCTCCGGAGCGGTCGGCTCTCCAAGGAGTACCACTGGTTTGTATGGACGGCGGCGAGTGGGCCGTACCGTCGGGGCGCTGACCTAAGGAACCCTAAATAAGGAACGAGGCCCCTTTTCTCCAGACGTTGAACTTCGATTTCCCTTCGAAAACCCAAGGAAAACACGGGCCAAACTGTGAAACTATCAAGGAACGCGGAGCCCCTCCCCAATCAAAAGGGTTCCTTCTTCAGGGCCCCGACTGTACGAGTGGGGGCAGGGTAGGGGCGGGACGGGGGAAGGGGATGAGTGAAGGGGCCCTGGGACACACAAATATACCCCCCCACTTCCCATACTCCTCTCCTCCTCCCCCCGCGTGCCCGCGGGAGCGAACACGGGGAAGGGGAAGAAAAGCAAGAGGAGGAGGCGGAAGAGGAGGAGGATGACCAGCATAAATCCAAGACGCTCCAACGATGTTGCTATAATCCCCCTTCGAACTTCCCTCTTCATAGGCCCAAGCAATACATTATTTTTCAATGGATTACAACCGTCTGAAAAATCCGCAATCGTGCCGAAGCATCAGTGCTGGGACTACAGCGCCACGGATCAACGTGACTGTTACGTCCTGACATAAATCGTGCCCGAACACCTCTCCTGGGACTTCAGCACCGCAGACATTTGAACTCATGTGCGCGGCGCTAAGGCGAGAGCCACATTTTGAAGCGGAACCGCCCTCCATCCTTGAAACCGCTGCATACTTTAAAGACACGTGCGCGCAGCGCTAGAAGGCGAGAACCACATGTTGAAAACCACCAGTCCTCCATCCTTCGAAAACTACAACTTGAAAACCACCCGCCCCCCATCCTTTGAAAACCACAATTTGAAAACCACCCGCCCTCCATCTGTGAAAACCACATTTTGAAAACCACCCGCCCTCCATCCGTGAAACTGCTCCAGATCTCAAGCCTCAGGAGCACAAGCGGGGGAACGACGTCTCGGGCGAAGCGCCCAGCCCGCCCTGCCGACGCGCCTGGGGGCGCGACAGAGGGGCCCGTGCGAATGCAGTGGGCGGCCAGCGAGGCACTCGCCATCGCTCGGACGTCCATGCCCTGTGTTTTTTTCGGTTTCGTGCGTGGTTTTTTGGCCAAATGATCAAGGATGCTCCTCGATGGTCCTCGCCGAAGGAAAAATGCACACGTCCGAGCGATGCCAAGGGCAAGGACTTGCACAGCGAAGCAAGGACCAGCCCAAGGGGGCGCACAACCCAACCGCCGCCCACGCCACCCAGGCTGGTACAGCGGCCGCGGCAGCGGCAGCACGGCGGGGCAGGGCAGGGGGGGCGGGAGAGGATGGAGGAGGAGGGACCGTGGCTCGACTTGGGAGGAGGAGGAGGAGGAGGACGAGGAGGAGGAGGGGGAGGAGGAGGGGGAGGAGGCGGAGGACGAGGAGGAGGAGGAGGGGAAGGAGGGGGAGGAGGAGGGGGAGGCGGGGGAGGAGGAGGGAAAAGGGAGGAGGAAGGGACGATGGGAAACGGCGACACGAGCACGACCAAGAGGAGAGGAGAGAGCACCCGATACCAGCGTGCGGGACACTCCCACGGCTCGATCAGGTCACGATCAGCTCGCGAGCGACCTGGCAGTTGAAGGGCTGGGCTCGGAGGCGGGCGTCGAGAGCTAACAAGGCGGCCGGCGGTCCTCAAGACCAAGACGCACGCTGCTGGTCGAAGGCAGCGTGCAACCCATCGATCGAGCGCCTGACCGATCCACAACATGACTGGACTACCGCCTGGGATATTCACATGCGACTATATCAACGCTGAGAATTGGGTCTTCGCCCCAATCGACTGGGAGAGATGGCAGACGGGAGCGGGCATGAGGAGGCATTCAGGAGGAGGGAAAAGAAGAAGAATACGGCCACACGTACGCGGGGTGGCGGCGCTAAGATCAGGTGTTGCTAGAAGTGCCCCTGCGACATCGAGCCCCAGCACGTTGCGAGCCCGAGCCTGTGCTCAAAACCAGGCCAAGCAGGAAGACCGCAATGTTCTGACGAACTGTGGTGCACCGCGCCGAGCCTGGGTGCCAGATAGTGAGCCGTTCAAAAAAACTAAAGACTGGCCATTGCAACCGGTATTCTGAATGTCCCGTGCAGAACTGCTGCTTGTCCGATTCAGAAACTGCCTGGGCAGAGGGCCCGACGCTCTGGATGGAAGAGGAGGAGACGAGTGAGGAGGACGGGACGAGGGAGGTGGAGGAAGAGGAAGAGGAGGGGAGATGATGAGGACGACAGCGGCGATGGCGGCCGAGGAGCCAGCGACGAAGAGCCTGCTCCGCATGCGCATCAGAAGGCCGTGCAGAGCCACTGCGGCGACCACTGCCACTATACCAAGAAGCGCACCAACCAGAAGTGACTAACGATGACAAGCTGAACGACCACGAATCTGGCGACCAGGTCCCATCCCGCCAACGACAGGTACTCTGACATCGGGATCCATGTTAACACCTACGACTCCACTCTCCTGGACGAGACGCTGCGAGCCAGCTCGGAAGGTGGTGGCTATGACAAGCGGGCAAAGGCCCAAGATGCACCAGCCCCAGGAGGCTCGCCATCCTTCGTCGCTCCCCAGGTCGAAGGTCGACCACACCTGCTGCAGCGCCCAGGGCCAGGAGGCGGGAGAAGAGGAGGACCACCGAGACTACGACGAGAAGACCGACGCCGAGTCCGACGGCTCCCCCAGCGCCGTCGACCGCAACCACAGCGACGTCCAGGGCAGCGAGGAGTCCTGGAGCCCGAGTCGGCCACCACCGCCCTCACCCTCTGCCTCCTCGCCGGAGGTCGCCCCGCAAGTCTCGCGGCATGCTGCGGGGCCGGCAGCCCGGCGCAAACGGCTCCTCTGCCCGGACTGCGAGTCTCCAGCGAGCAGCCGAACAGATGGCCCGTACGTTTACGGGTAGGACTCGACGACTGCCGCATGCGTGCAGGAGACAGGCCACCTGGGTCCTGGTGGCACCAGCGCAGCGCCTGGAACGAGAACCTCGGCTCTCACTGTGCCATCAGTCCCACGTGCAGCCCCATCGACCATCGCCGACACGACTATCTGGAACCATCGTGAGGACCTTCGACGTTTTGATAATCAAGTATAATCAAAAACCCTAATAAGGACGCGCGGTAAGGACGCAAGGCCCTTGGAAGCCGAAGTTGGGATTTCTGGGGCGGCGGACGACGAAAACCTCAAGGACGCAAGAGCAAGGAAGAGCAAGGACGCAAGGGTACCTACCCTGAGCAAAGTCGCGCGTCCTTACTAGGGTTTTTGACTGTACCCTCGTGAACGCTCGTTCCTCTGCACGGTTCCCCACCCACCAGAGGCCACGCTCACCCACGAAGCCCCTCCCTGAGATCCGGCGGCGCGCCCAGGGGGGAAGCGAGACGGAGAAGGCCTGCTCAGAAGAGGCTGGGGCTTCTCAGAAGCCCCCATCTGGCCTTCTGAGAAATCTTCGGCGTCTCCAGAAAGGAGGCCCAGAAGACCTCGCGGAAGGCCCGAGGCCTTTCGAGCCTGCCGAGAAAGCCCACCACCCCCCCTCTCTAGGCTCGCCGCCCCGATCAGAGCTCCCGCTCTGCCGCCTCCCCCGGTCCCCTCCTCTTGGTGGTTCGGAGATGGGATCCCGAGGGATGGGGCCCCCAGAGAAGGAAGGAACCAAAGGGTGGACTTGCAGCGATTGAGGCACCTCGTCCTCGGGACCCTCCCTCAGGACCGATGTCTGAACCACCGATCCTCCCTCCCTGCCCCCTCCTCTCCCGCCCTCCCCTTGCCG